CTCTTCAACTCAAGAGTGTCTACTAAGCTTGGCCTGAGTTTTTTCTACCTGTGTCATGGCCTAGAGCTCTCTCAAGGAAGTAAGCAAGTGCAGTTATAGAGGTCATCTCATTTATTTCCCATCTCTCAGAAACACTGTCTTCTATCGCCTGATGTCCACTGACTTGATTATCATTGTTTCATAGATTTTTGGTTTTTGGTTGTTTAAGGAAAAAGGATAAATCTGGTCCTGGCTACTCTATTTTGGTCAGAAGTGTAAGTTGAACATTTGTTTTGATATCCAATTAAACAAGGACTACATAATAAAACTCCTGTCAAAGTAATAGGGATGTTTCAGTAAGAATGCCTAAATAGGTCTGAAAACAAAACCAAAATGGGAATACTAACAAGTATTTAGCCTAAAAATAGAAATATAGCTCAACATGAGAAAGACATTAATGTTAAGCACTATATTAACAGATGAAAAAGTAAACAGAGACCAGCAGATGGCAAAATGATTATGTCCCTGGACTCCCAGGTACTTGATCAAGGTTTGAGTCCTGAACCCAGTGGCTTAAAACTCACACCAGGTGTATGTGCATGCATGCCCAAGATCTTGAGAGGAGAAAGGAGGAAAAGGAAAAGGAAAGGATGTGGTCAATCCCCTGGGGGATGGTTTCCCATTTTCTGTCTGTCTGCCTCTCTGGCAAGCCGAAAAATCCCTCTCTAAACCGCCCCCTTCAAAAAAAACCCCACAATCTAATAGATGCTTGAAATCATCTAATATTCAACAACTGTTCATTTAAAAAAATTAAATGACAATACGTGTCAGAAAACTAAGACAAAAAAAGACTCTGTATCTTGATAAAGGGTAACAAAAGGAAGAGTAGAGATTCTGGAAATCAGATGACCTTTGTTGAAATACTAGTCTTGGCCAGCAGGTGGCGTGGTGGTTAAGGTGCTGGACTCCTATATGTCTGACCACGGTTCAAATCCTGAACCTGGAGGCTAGCTTTCTCATTTTCCCTTCTGTCTCTCTCTGGTGAATATAATAATAATAATAATAGTAATAAATAAAATTAAGTACATAATTCTTTTTTTAAAAAAAGAACTACCAACTTTATTTTTTGTAAAACGTTTCAGGCAAGTTATTAAAATATTCCTTTCTTCATTTTCCTTATCTAAAAATGGGTATAACACCATCATCTACCCACTTACGACCTAGGAATGTCATGAAGAATAAATAAATCTATACACATAGAACCTAACTGGCTCATAATAACTACTCAATAAAAGGTAACAGCTATTGTTACTAGTATAGCTCTTGCTCTCATAAATACTAATATCAGAAACCTATAGTAAACATCTACAGATTTAAAAGTAAAAATCAGAAACATTCTTATTAAAGCCAGGATTCAGATAAGATGCTTGGGGTCATCACTTAATCAATGCTGTTCCGGAGAGTTTAATGAAACATAAATACATACTATTAAAAAAAGAAAGAGAAAAATGTATAGACCATCTACAAAGAATGGGAATCAAATGATAAACTATTAGGACTAGCGAGAGTCCTATTAATACAACAGTTGAACAAATGATCGTTAAAAAAAAAATTCTGCTGTACTTAAGGAATAGGGAATTAGAAAATAGAAAAACAAAAAAAGCTCCTACTAGAACCAAAAACTTAGAAAAAACCTAATCAGAACTACACAAGAACATCATGAGAAAACTATAAAATGTTACTAAAAGATGCATTAAAAGCTGGGTGTGGTAGCTCATGTCTGTAATTCCAGCTATTGAGAGGCTGAGGCAATAGAATCTCAAGTTCAAGGCCAGCCTGGGCAACATAGTGAGATCCTGACTCTAAAAAGACAAACATTCCTTATTAGCCATCCTGACACCCTCTAAACTCAAGCCACAGTAAACTACTAGACCTCCTCGAACACATCCTGTTCGTTTAGAATTTGTACTTCTACATATGCTATTCCCTGCCTCTATAATGCCTTTCCTGACTGTTTTGCTACTGTCTGTAACCAAAATTAAATATCTCTTCTGTGGAAATTTCCCCCATTCACATCTTTGTTCCTAGAATACTTTTTCAAAATTCCCTAATAAGATCAATTAACACTGCACTGTAATTATTTTATGTCTTAATAGCTTACTAAAAGTAAGATTCTTACTTAGAATCTAAAGTACTTTGAGTAACCTAGTGGGCAATTAAGAGAGGGTTTTTAAAGACATGCTGGCTGCAATATTATACTCAAGTATACTGTATGATGAGACAGTATGTATCATAGTTAATAGCTCACATTCTCACAAAACTTACATTCTCCTGGACTACACCACTTTTGGGTAATAAGTTAAAATGGGGAGGCGGGGGAAACAGCTCAGATTCTAAGCCAGACTATTTAGTTAAGAATTTCTGATCTTCCACCTATTAGTTAAATAAATTAATTAACCTTTCTGTAAGTGGGTCTCCCTATCTGTAAAAAGAAAATAAGATCTACCTCATAAGGTTCTGAGGATTAAATGCATTAATATGAGTAAAGGGCTTAAATCAGTGATTGCCACAAAAATAAGCATTAAATATGAGTTGCGTATTATAACAATCCTTGGTTATTCATGACCATTTCTACATGCTAGTCTTCCATTATGATCTCTCCTCTATTTTTTTTTTTTTGAGAGGTTTTTGCTATAGGGCGAGTGTGTTCGCCAGACAGACAGAGACAGACAGAGAGACAGAGAGACAGAAAGTGAGAAATCACCCCCCGGGGGTATGGTCATGCCGCAATCCCTTCTCCTCCATTCTCTCGGGATCTTGGGCACGCATGCACATGCGCCCGGCGTGAGTTTAAGCCACTGGGTCCGGGACTCGAACTGCAGTCAACTACGTGGGAGTCCAGTGACATAGCCATTATGCTAACTGCTGGTCTCTCTCGATTCTATATTAGAAATAAGCTTCCTTCACCTCTCCCTTTATCCAAATCTTACCCTTTTAAAGCTGACCTCTGGTAAATCTTTTGATCATTCCAATCCTTAAATAATCATTCCCTAATTTAAGTATCTAAAACACTTTTTGTACCACTTTGCATTTAATTAAAATTGCTTTGCATCCTTGCAGTTTCCCTCTTACAAGTTTGCCAATTCAATTTTTGTAAACTCTTAAGATCCTGATGATATCTCACACATCTCTGTGAGTTCCTATAGAGGGTAGTAAGTACTTAGCATTTGTTATTAAAAAATAATAAAACCTTAACTAATCATACTGCCTTTACAATCAAAGAAAAGGAGAAAACTGAGAAAACAGTCCATGCTTTTCCTAGGAGTGAAGTCGCAAATGTATCAGGGCCATGGAATTCTGACTTCCATTACTATAACAGATTCTGAAATAGCTTTTTTGGGAGCAGGACCCTCCCAGTCATTCAAGAGGAGTTACGGAACCCTTCCAGTCACTGAAGAGCAGTTATGGGTACTCTTTTAAGTTTCTAAACCAACTGTAGCACTAGCTTTTCTATGAGAAATGTGGGAATGTAACAATATGACTGAAAGCATAGGAGTTGGAATCCCACAGACCTAGGTTTCAGGGCCCTGAGCCTGTTTCCTTCCCCACAATGTGGATAGTTTAACATCGACTTCACAGAAATGGAATAAGCAACATTCACCTGAATATCTAACTGCAGTACAAATTTCTATAGTTAAAAAAATTAAATAAATTGAAAACAGTGCAATTCATAAGTAAAAAGAATATCTTTAGTTACATCAAAATATGCTGTACTAAATTAGCTGGCAACAATATTTATAATACTCTAAATTATCTACTAGTATTGTCAATAATACAGATTTGGGATGAGGGAAAAATACCACTATGAAGTTAATCCTTCTTTTTTGACACTTTATCCTGCCTATAATTTTTTTCTTCCACTTTTGATTAAAAACAAATGTTCAAAATTGACTCCCAAAAGAAATATCTGGAAGGCACAATTTAACGTAATATTGATTCTATAAATGTAGTATTTCAGTTTATAGTTCAAAAATACTTCCAAGTTGGAATTAACAGAAATTTAAGAAATTAAAAATAATGGTGAACAGCTCATGCGATGATCTGAGTCAGTAATTTCAAATTAAGAGTTGTTCCAACTTGAAAGCTGGCAGTCACAGACAGTCTAAAGGGTTTGTTTACAGCACGGAATAAAACAAATACCCCAATCTTTTAGAATATTCATTCTATTATTCTAATAATTATTATTTTAAAACTAGTGTTGACATGCCCAAGACTACACAAAGTAGTCCAAAATGGATTCCCTCCAGAAGGAAGAAAGAAGTGGCAAGTCTTATTTTGAACCTGATATATAATATTTTTTTCGGTTTTGGATTATGAAAAAAAAAAAAAAAGCTGTTCATCCACAGAAGAAAAGAACCTTGCTACTTAGAATAACTGTTAAGCGCTGGGGAGGAAGGTGAAATTTTAGTCAGATGGATGTGTTAGCATACGGTGGGATTCTTTAGGATCTATACATAAAAACGATCGAAAGAAAAGAATTGTTGGTTAACAATGTTATGACTGTGAGCTTCCAATAATGTTGAAACCCTACAATTTAAGGAGGAAGACACGGCTTTAGGAAAGGAAATGAACCTTTGGGAACAAAATGAAGAGTCTAGTGCGGACTAATGGAATTTAAGGAGATGGAAAGGGGATTGGGAAAAACGCGGGACAGGGAACCAAAAGGGGAGAGGATGAGCCGGGGGCTGAGGCAGGGGGTGTGCGCGGTCAGGGTAAGGTCGGGAGATCGGAGTCAGAAACCGAGGTGACAAAGTTGTGGAAGTCGAATTCGGAGGTGTGGGAGCAGGCACAGGAAGGAATGTGGGGATTTCCAGGCCGGGGCTGACAAGTTCAGGGCGCGAGCCGCGGGGCGCTTCGCTTCCTAGGAAGCCCTCTCCAGGGCCAGGTCCCCACTGGGCCATGCCGACCAAGCCCTGGTCCTCCCGACCCTTCAGTCGGCGTCGGCCCCGGCCCCTCCTCACCTCAGGCCGCGGCGCCCCGGTCCTTCGCGATTCCACGTTTCCACTCAGCGCCTGATCGGGCCAGATCCCACGGCCTGAGGTAGGCCGAGGGACGGCCCCCAGATCCGCTGCGGGCCGGCGACTCCCTAGGCCCCGCGCAGCTCCCGCCGTGCCCGGCCCCCGGACGCGAGGCCTGCGCGCTGATTGGTCCTTGTCAGACCTAGCGCGCCCGACCATTGGCCGAGCGGTCTCTCGATGATGAGGGGTGGGACTGCAGGGGTGTGATTCCCGTAACGCGGCTCCCGGCGTCCCGGATTCCGGTGGCTGCGCCGACGTCGCCTTTCCCAGACGAAATCGAAGGGTTCCCCTACCTCCCCTCTGTGGGCGGAAGGAGCGGAATGTTCCATTTTTTTCCGTGGAATAACGGGGTCCTGAACTGAACTCCGAGTGTTGCCTGCGCCTCCCGCTGTCCCTCTCGCCAGGGCGCCTTCAGCCTCCCTTGGAGGCCTTCCCGAGGGACCCAGCCACTAGAAACCTCTGGGCTCCCTCGGAGTCGGGAGGCGTGGGAGCTCCTTGGGGAAAGTAAAGGACCCGATGGCCATGACACCACACGAGATTGCCTCAGAGTGTGGCGGCGACAGCTTCGATTCAAGGCTTATGTCAACGAATCTTAGTACAGTATCATTTTTTAGAGTTAGTAACTGAGTTTGGATGTGATGGATCAGTGAACCCCACAGCTGGTCATCGGCTAAGATATTCGTGTAATTAGTGTTTCTTTAAGGTTTGTGCCCAACTAAATTTCACTAGAATTTCCCCACACCCCGCCCCCGCCCCCTTGGCTTGGAAAATAGACCTAAAGGCTCTTGTAGGTACATATTTTCCAAAGCACAATGAGACGTTAAAAAGATATGGCGTGCACACGTGTGTGTGTGTGTGTGTGTGTGTGTGTGTGTGTAAAGAAATACCCAGGGTGTTTTGTAGCAAGGTCTTTTGTAGCAGAATGGCAGATTATAGGAGGGAAATAATAGTTTAATCAACCGCTTATACCCATAAATTAACAGTCACTTATAAAGCTCTTTATTATTCATCTGAGGATTTCAGATAAAGAGTAAAACACAGGGGCCAGCAGTTAGTGTAATGGCTATGTCACTGGACTCCCATGTAGTCGACCGTGGTTTGCGTCCCCGATCCGGTGGCTTAAAACTCACGCTGGGCACGTATGCGTGTGTGCCCAAGATCCCGATAGATCGGAGGAGGAGGAGAAGGGATTGCAGCGTGGCCATCCCCCCTGGGGGGTGATTTCTGCTTTCTGTCTCTGTCTCTCTCTGTCTGTCTGGCTAGCACATGTGCCCTATAGCAAAAAAAACCTCTGCAAAAAAAAAAAAAAAAAAAAAGATTAAAGCACAGATCAGATTATGATCCTTATTGTTGATCAGATCATTTTTAGAAGACACAGCAAAGGCTAGCAGGTGGTGTGGTTAATGCACTGGATTCCTACAGGCATGCCTCAGATCTAGACCTGGTGGCTTGAAAAGAATGCCCGGGTAGAGAATAGAGGAAAAAGGGAATGCTGTGTGGCCAAAATCAATCCCCCCAACCCCTCCATTCTCACTTTCCCTCTCTTTTTCTCCCTCTCTCAAACTCACATGCTCTATAGCAAAAACCTAAAAACAAACACAAGAGACACAGCGAAGTGGGCCTATTGAAGGAGTTCCTGGCAAACTTGGGGATGGCACTGTAACCGATGACATGTTCAGCTCCTGCTGCTTCACATCTAATCTGCAGAGTATGGCCGGGTTATATTGTAGCTTTACCATTTATCAGGGTACTTATTTTAGAACAAACTTCTATAGAAATTTGTTAATTAAAGAAGTTTCTATTGATTCAGGAAACATTTATTCAGGGACAATATATAATGATAACGGTCTACTTACTCTCTGGTTCCAGATATCTTCAATATGAATCTGGGAGACCAGCTGATGGTATAATGGTTACGTCGCTGGACTCCCAGATACTCAACTGCAGTTCAAGTCCCAGACCCAGTGGCTTAAAGGTCATGCTGTATGTGTTTGTGCCCAAGATCAGGAGAGGAGTATGGAGGAGAATTGGAGGATTGTGGTGTGGTCCTCCCCCCTCTCCCCGAAGAGGCGATTTCTTGCTTTCTGTCTCTCAGTGAGTACACATGCCCTGCAGCATAAATCTCTTTTAAAAAAATGAATCTTGGTTCTGCTACTTCCCATTTCTGTGACTTTGGATAAATATTTTTTGTTTCTTCATCTGCACCACGAGAACACCAACCTTAAAGAACTGTTGTAAGGATTAAATGAGTTAAAATACATAAAGTGTTGGGGCCAGCAGGTGATGCAGTTCAAGTTCCAGACCTGGTGACTAGCACATGTGCCTGCACACCCAAAATCCCAGGAAAATGGGAGAGAAGAGATTGCAGCATGGCCATCCCCTCTGGGAGGTGATTTCTAACGTTCCTTCTCTGTCATTCTCTGATGAGTGCATGTGCCCTATGGCAACAACCTAAAGAAGTAAAATAAAGTGCTTGGCACATAGTAGGTACTCAGTAAATGCCACCTGTTATTATTAAAAGTCTGCTATTTCATCGCTTTTCCAGCCATTTTGCATCACAACATGTATTGAAAAATATATTTCTTTGTTACACATGTTAGACAGAAAAGGATCAAATATCTCAAAACACACTAGCCTGCCTTGGTACACTTGTTAGGAAAGCAGAAGACTGAATCAGTTCTTTTGCAGTTGTCTTTGTATTGTCTTAGCTCAGGCCCTGCCCCTAAGAAACTTACATTTTGTGAAGGTAGTTGAAGTCCTAGGCTAAAAGGATGAGTTGATATTGGGGAGAGATTTTTTTTTTAGAATGGTAGACCTTTTCTACTCTACTGGAATTACACTTGTGTGGAGGATGGGCCCTGAAGTGACCACTTTCAGGTTAAAGTTTTGTTACTAGAAAGCCCTGTAAAAATTAAAAGGTTGGGGGGGAAAATGGAAAACCAGTTGAGATCTTTCCATGTATGTCCTGGGACCATTTGGGATTTTAGATATTGCAAGAGGAGAGGGTGGGGAACTTGTACAGTGAGAGAGCAATAAGAAGTCAGTGAGGTTACTTGAAAGTAGGTGAACAAAGCTGGGAAAAATGTTATGCATCAAGTGTAACAATTATTGAAGACAAACTTTGCTTGCTTTGACTTTGCCTAAATCTGCCCTTACCAGAATATCTATTTACTTCCTTGTCTCTGCTCAGCTGTGTTTCTGAAACTCCAGGCCTAGAACTATCCTTATGATCTACCTAAACCTAATGACTTCAGCATCCATGTTGATGACTCAGTCAGCACACTGACCTCACTATTTCTCATCCTTTTTTCTCCACTGATCTTCAACTTCACTCTGTATCAGTAATTCACAGATGGAACCACACCTTTCAATTGGTCATCAGATGAAATTACTCCACCTCCAACATTTTGCATTGTGAGGTTCCCTCCCTGTACCTGCAGCCACCTAGCCTCTTTGGCTCTCTAACATACTCCTACTAAATCTGCAATTCATCTTCAACTTGACCTCCAGTCTTTGTTCTTACAGCTTATCTCTTGCTTCCTACCTTCTCTTATCTTCCTAAGCAGTGAAAACTCTTTTTATCACCCAGTTTAATTGTACTCTAATATCTAGTATCTTCAAAGCCCATGACCTTCAGCTATGTTTACCTTGTCAGTCAATATCCAATTTCCCTTTTCCTTGAACTACCAGCCCTATTCCAACATTTATTCCTTGTATGGAAACCTGTTTCATTATTCCCTGGAAAAATCAAGAACATTCATTTGTAGGAATCCTTTACTTTTCTCCAACTTGCCTTTCCTACTGCCTCAGAGGAAGAAAGCCTCCTATTCCTTTTAAAAGACAAAATCTCCTCTTATGTTCTTAGTCCTACTCCCACTAAGTTCAGTCCCCTAGTTATATATTTTTCATTATTAGCACAAATGTCTTAGAAGATTTTAAAAATTAAATATTAACTCAATGGTGAGTTGGGGACAGCTTATCTGTAGGACTAAAAACTTTTGTAATTTAACAGCACCTAATTCACTAAACAAAATTAAAAGTAACTAAAAGTAACTCTCAAAATGAAGCTAATTAAGCTACACTGTAATCTACATAATAAAATGAATTTGAGATGAAATATAAAGTTAAATCAAGTTGTAACTAAATATCCAAGGTAGCAAACAGGAAAAAATTCATTCATATGTAAAATTAATTATCTAGCAACAAAACCAAGAAACATTATAAACTAGCATTTCAAAATTATACTGAAGAGTAGTATATATTCAGGGAAGTGAACATACCAAAAGAATATAGCTCGAAAAATGTTCACAAACTGAATATACCTACATAACTAGCATCAAGATCAAGAATCAGAACATAACCAGTACCCCAAAATACCCCTTCTAATCCCTTTCAGTTACTGGAAGGCCAAAAGTGACCACTTTTCTAATTTCTAACACCATTTATTATTATAAAGTTGAAAAACTAGCAAAAACTTAGTAGTATGATATTGCTTATTTCATTTTAAGAAATGTAATAGAACAAGAGAATTTGAAATGGAGTAAGTACTGCTCTGTATGAAGGTTAAACACAGATGTAGATCTAAGGGCTATCTTCTCAGTACTCTGGAAACCTGGGAAACCCTGTGAAATGGCCATGGATTGGGCAGTGATCTTGGGTTACCCTGTTTCACAAGGAAACTTGACTTCAGAGAAAGAAAGGATGGTGCACAAGTGTGACCAGCAGTTAGTTTTATTCTATTCCCAGATGCATACATGGATTTGGGAAGTCAGAAGTTGGGAATGTAATGTTGGAACAGCTCAGACTTACCTGAGAAAACTGTCCTAGGAAGGTTAAGAAGCAAGGGCTTTCCTTTATTGACTCTTCTTTCACCAATATTCCTGGAAAGAGACAAAATGTGTTCCTTGGCTCTAAGTTTGACATTTATGCTGAATCAAATAGGTGAAAAAATAACAATATAAATTTTAAAAAATTGTTTTATGAGTTTGTATAGCTAAAAATTCCCAGCACCTTATATAGGTTTAGATAAAGATATAGTACTAACTGTATTAAATAATGGCTTAGGCAAAAGT